TCGTCCGAATCGAAACAGACATCACAGGAGGCGAAACAGAACAATGACGACGATGACGAAAAAGACGATTTCCTTGACGGAGACGATGACGACGATGATAACACAACATCCGACGTGGCTGATAAGGGTGCTTCGATGGAAAAGGAAGAAAGCAAAGAGAAAGATAAAATAAAGGGCAAGAATCGCGAAAGTGCGAAGGGAGGCAAAGAGGCAGACGACAGCAGTCAGGAAGAGGGCAAGAAAAGGTCCAAAAACGTAAGCGAGGAGAGCGAGGACGCTGCAGACAATGTACCGAAAGACGACGACAATGACGAGGACGAAGACGACGACGACGACGACGAGGCGGTCCAACCAGACGGGAGCAGTTCCAACGAGGCCCTCGCAAACGCAGAGAAGTTACCCTTCAGAACTGCTGAGGAAGAAGTTGCCGGAAAGGGAGAGTCCGAGGCCGAGTTCGAGAAGATATCGAAGCCGGTGAGTGAAAAATACGTAAAGAGAGAGAAAGCAAGCAAAGAATGAAGTACGTTTATGAATTAAATCTTGTTTCAAAAAGAAATTTAACTCAAACGCTCACTTTAAAACGCAACCTCACATAAAACAACGAAACTAAAGAAACACAAAACCAAAAGAAAAAGCAACAGTTTGTTGAAATCAAAACGAAACCAAATCTAACTATCACATTAAAATACTTCTTCCCAGCTGAAAATCCCCATGCAGTTTCTGGCAAGACAATAATATATACTTCTGCGTTTTCTAGTGCGATATTATTTCTGCGAGAACCTGAATGGCATTTTCAGCTGGGATCTCTGTTGCAGATTGAGGTCGAAATCGTCGGGGCGGACTCCAAGCAGGCCGCGCTCAACGTGACCGCCGCGGAGAGGCTGTCAGACTCGGACCAGTTGGACACCACGGCGGCCCCAATCGCCTCAGTGAGCGTCAAGAGGCCAAAGAAAAGCCCCGACGGCGAGCTGCACATGATCGCCGTCAACGTCACGTCCAACCAAAAGAGGACGCGTGTAGGAAAGCGGGGCGAGAGCACACTTTCTGGGGCACTGCTCGAGGCCCCCGCCGCCCCGCCGCCGACACATCCGCCCATCACAATCAAAATCCAGCACCAGGCGCCGGTCCTGGCCCCACCGTCTGTATCGCCACCGCCTACGACGACAGCGCCTCCGCCGCCGACCACAAAGGCACCCCCGCCGCCGCCTCCTCCCCCTACGCCACCGCCGATTACCATTAAAATTGGGCACAACTCACCCCCGACTCAGACGCCACCCCCTCCA